CTCTCCTGCCCCTGCCACTTCTGATTCCTCTAGCTGCATTGCAGTCTTTTCAGGACTGTAAGGGACAAACAGGGCCATCCAACTTTTCCTTCTGTCTGCTTTGCTTTGGGTCTAAGACTGAGAAAGCCTCACTCTGCAAGATCTTTTTCTGTACCTTCAGGTGGAGGGGCACCCATGCCTCACTTAGGCAATGGCAAGCTGTGACTGAGCCATGGAAGATGCTTTCTGAAGGCTTCCTTACAGGCTGTCTTCAGAGACCTGTGCAAATGATACCATGGCATTTTCAGTAGATCAAAGGATTGCTTAATGTTGGAACTGGTTCAATAATGAGTGCTGCTTTGCAATAGTCTTGGTGAGCCTGAAAGAAACTGTCTTCCCAGGAGAAGAGAAAGAAGGGAAGAGAAAAGAAGAGAGGATACATTTTTACTTAGTGGGTCTTATCCCTGCAGGCAGCAGCGATGACCCTGGGTGCGTTCCCTATGAGGCCTGTTCTTGCCGCTCATACTGAAGAAGGGAGGCTGCAGGGACTTTTTTAGAGAGCAGCCTTTCAGAGTCCTTGTTCTGAATCAGTAGGCCAAGCTGGACTGGTGTCATAGGCATACCCCAAGACCCTGATTCAAATGTTTATAAATCAAAGCTGCTTCGTCTTGACTTCTTCACTGCCCAGTCTCTGACAGCTTTTGGATTTCTGTCCATGCCTTATCTCAATGCCTACGTTCCCCTTCCCCATGCCTTTGTGCAGCCTATTGTTTTTCCTAGGAGCAGCACAGTCCGTCTTGAAAGTAATTCAGGATTCTGCCTCAAAGTCTCCTCCCTCTGTCTCTCCCTTCAAGAGCTCTGGCTAACCCTTGATCACACTGAGCATATACAGGATTGGTGTTTGGTAATAGCGGGTGAGTCTTGTTTGTCATTCCAGGGGCTTCATTCTGGAAGGGTCGGGACTCATAGTCCTAGGATGACGACACCTTACAGGCAAGTAGGCAGCAATATCATAAGGCGGACATCTGGAAGAGTGGAACGTCTGGTGCTAGTGTTACATAGTGTGTGCAGCCTTGGTCACAGAGACCATGTAATGTGTAAGAGTGGTTATGTAAATGTCTTTGCAAGTGTCACCATCTTAATGCAGCTGCCCGCCAGATGCAGGGCACTTCCACAGCAGTGCCTGAGTGGCTGTCTGAAGCCTGCTTTCAGAGCAAATCTTCCAGTAATCCCCCCTTGCTGGGCTTTGCTTTGTACAGCAGAATGGTCTCAGTGTGCGAACTAGATTCCTTTCAGGCGGCGCTAAGCTAGTAGGTGTGCCACACATAGGAGCACACCTCATGCATTTCAGCCACTAATTGGTGTGCAGTCCATGGGACCAGGGAAGACATAATCCAAAGTAAAGCTCCCCAGACACGTTTGGTGAGGATGTTGGATTTCCAGCCCACACTCTATCACTTTAAAGATTTGCTCTTGTTGAGCCATACTCCTTGCTAGCACAGAACTGGCTGTAGATGTCATATGCATTTCAAAGCTGCAAGTCAAGAAGACTTACTGCCAAAGGATGGTGTCTAAAACACCACCAGACATCGGGTTTTGGATAGATGAACTGCATCTGGGAAGTCTGGAGAGGACTCTGCAGAGGGGCATATTTTTTTTTTGAAAAGGACGTGGTGGGATTTGATTCTGAAAACAACTTACTTCTAGCATCCTAGTGTCACAGGAGGCAGCATGCATCATGCAAACCCCTCTTTGTGCTTCTCCCATTCTTTTAGAAGCTGTACACGAATGCGCTCTGATTTTCCGGGCGTTTTGCTCTTCCTTTGGAATCACACGTGTTGAAGCATGAAAACTGTACCTGCATGTAACCTGCTACCGCTAGCTGCAAAATGTTAGTGATCCCAGAGCAAATAATAAGGTAGCAGCCCTCAGCAAGGCGAACGCGTGCGATTCACAAGCACTGCGAGAACCTCCCGTCCAAAACCCGCTCACCCGTGCTGCCGTTCGGCCGAGGGGAGGGCGAACGGGGCACCAACGCGGCGGCGGCGCTGCCGCTCGGAGTGCAGGACACGTGTTTGTTGACTCCGTGACACAGCTGGAGGACGCCTTACAGCGTTACGCATATTTGTGCGGCATTC